GAGTGAAACATACACAGAACATTTACTGTAATTAAAGAGTGTCACTGACGCAAAGAGTCTCTCAGGGTTGCAATTCAACTGTCATTTCCTGCCTTTACAGAGACATTTGTACTATCCAGATAGGAACTGCAGTATTGCTGGATCTGTCAGACAGTTGTATCAGAATATTCAGAATGGAGTAAAAGCGCTGTTTAGGCCTTGAAAAGACTGACCAATTCTGAAGTACAGCCAAACAAATTAAATAAATGTAGCTTTAATATTTGCTAAAGCATACAAAAACATTTTTTAATTATACAGACAAGCTTAATACAATGTAAGGTGTGAGTGTCCCTACAATTTGAGTCTTACTTGTGCCATAAACAAAGACAGAATTCGAAACACAAAAGAATTTTCTTGACTTCTCTCCACAAAACATCAGAACAGGACAGGGATAGAGGAAGAAACAGCAGGGGGAGATAAAAAACAGAGCAGTATAAAATATAGCATAGCCCCTGAATCTAAAAAATAAATTTTCAATACAGGTGATAAAATAAAAAAAAAATAAAATGTTGCACCAGTTGGGATAAAGGAGCTGTATCATCTTACAATAGGCACACCAGCTTGAGAATCTGAAAAATACCTTAGGAGAAAACCCACGTTGGTAAACATTACCAAATCGCTATTGTCATTTCAACAAAAATCACAGCAAAAGAAAAAAAAAGATTTAAAGCACTCTGAGAGTTTTTTTATGTTTGTATACAATGCTTTCCTTTTTCCTTATTACTTTATTTTAAAATATTTTTTGTTAAATTGATTAGCTTTTATAACATCAGTGCGTCACCATGCAGAAGATGAGTCACTACTCTGGAAATTGATGGAATCTCTCTTATAATCATACATCAATACTTAACATATATAAATACCAATTTCAGATGCCGAATCTGAAGTTTAAAGTGACAAAGATCAGCACTTTGCCTCAGACACAAGTAGTGTGTAAGCCAAAAGAAAAAATCAGCCTAAGGAAAAAAAAAAAAAAAAGCCTGTTTAAGCTGAGATAAAGAGTTGTAATGCAAGGATGTTGTGGCAAATAGTTCCGGATTTTGCCTAGTCATTTCTGTGACTGAGATAACTAGTCCTTCAAGGTAGTGGTGTCCAAAGTGGGGTGCATAAGACAATCCTTTGGGGAAGAAAATATTTTTTGTACTGTTAATAAATGAAAAAAAATTAAAATAGGGCTTATTTCATCTTTTTCTCATCCTTTTTAATTTCTGTTTTTGTGTATGATTCATTATGTACATAATATATTAGTACAGTAGTACATGTATACAATTTATAAATAAATATACCTATATTAGTGGGGTGTGCTCAGAATCTTTTTACTGATGTGGTGCGCAATCAAATGTTTCTATGCTCCAAATGACATTCAACACTTCTTTGCAGGATCTTAGAGGAAGAAGAAACGGCTGCCTCTGTGAGTTTTGAATACTCCAGGATGTAGTTCCTTAATGATTTAGGATCCCTCTCCCATCGTATTTTGAATGCTATGGAATTCAAACTGTTTTCTTCAGTTAGACATGCCATGGATCACAGGCTTCTCTTGGCTGTCCTCCTGTGAGCTGTTATTTTTAAGCACTTTAAGGCCTTAAGAACTGCCCCACCCTCCCTGTAAAAATACACTATTTCTATAGAAGAGTGGAGCCAAAGCACTGTTGTTTAAAGTTCAACTTCAGTAAGTCCCAGGCAAAAACATATCCCAATGACAGCAAACACTTATGAAGAGAGCAAATGAAAGACAGAATATGCCTCATTGTTATTACAGTTGACACTTATCACTAGGCAATCACTTCATCTGGACAGGCAGAAAGTTGGGTAAAAGAGCAAGCTGTTCTTAGAATAGAACAGAATAGTTCCAGTTGGAAGGAACTAAAATGATCATCTAGTCCAACTGCCTGACCACTTCAGGGCTGATCAAAAGTTAAAGCGTATTATTAAGGGCATTGTCCAAATGCCTCTTAAACACTGACAGGCTTGGGGCATCAACCATCTCTAGAAAGTCTGTTCCAGTGTTTGACCACCCTCTCGGTACAGAAATGCTTCCTAATATCTAGCCTGAACCTTCTTCTCGATCAGCTGTGCATTAGGTTACATGTGTCTGACTGATGATCAAGTGGTCTGGTGCAGTTTCACTTTTCTAACTTGATTTGCCATCAGACACCTGCCAGCAAAGTGAGACATCCCATCCCCGATCGGTGGGTATATTACTAAGAAATCCAGTTAAACTGAGAGACACAAAAAAATGTCTCTTTTTTGTGAATAACTAATTTGATAATTTCTCAGCTTCATTATTTTCCAGATATTGGTATTAATGAGGTCTATGAAATGACTTTTAACTAAATTGAAAACTGTGTTGTTCATTGTAGGTTGGATATTTTAAGCATGTGAGACAGTTAAGAATACTGAAAATTGAAGAACATTAAGTTTTGCATACCAGTTGTAAAACAAAAATTACTTCCAGTTTCTCCAGTCTCCCATCTCCATATTTATTCCATGCTTAACAGCAAATTGCCTTATTAAATGTGAATATGGAAAAGTTTTTCTGTAGGTAATCTAATTTATAACCTGAAGGCCTTGTTGATCACTAGTGTTATCTGGATTCCAAGTCAGCAACAATAACAATCTATACTGACAAGAAAGTCAGACTTCTATTCCCCATCCCTACTTTTTTTTTTGAGGAGGCAGACCTAGACAAAGACTCAGATTCTGCCCAAATCCATTGAGAATACATGTAAAACATTTTGACTTGCATGCCTGTGAGTCATCATTTTGGAAACATCAACAAATAATTACTCAACAGAAATTTGAAGTGGTAGAACTTTCTACCTTAACACCAACAACCAGTGGAATAGAAAAAGCATCATTAAAAAGAAAATATAGAATGTTTATTTATAATACTTTCCATTACACAGCAAATGATCCTAAATCAGATCTCAAAGTGTTTTACAAACAGTAATGTGATATGCCTCGTACAGAATTACAATCCCAAACTTGCTCTTAACTGCTGGTAAAGAATTAAAAAAGATTACAGCATACATTCATTACTTCAGAATGCTACTAACGGTAGGGGAGCAAAACACTAAGATTTGGAATTACATGGACACCATTCTAAAATGGCTGTAACATAAAAAGCAATTGGCCAAAACTCCTGCCTCATTACAGATACATTAGTGATACAACATATTCTGCTGCCAGGTCACCCTTGGTCAGAATTTAAAAATAAAAAAAAAAGGGAAGGAAAAAACCAAGTATGAAACAATGATTACAAGACATTAATTATGAGTGGTATTCATCATCAGAAACCTGCTAGGAATGTTTCTTCCCTTTCCTCTCCCCAGTAAGGAACTACAAGTTCCTAACACACTTTAAGACTTCATCTGAGAGGCATGCTACACTCACAGCAACAACAATGCAAAATTATACCCCTCTCTCTCCAAGTATCTAGTGTAGTCCAGGCTCCTGACTGCAGTGTCTCATAAACAGCTATAAAAGAACACACTGCCAAAATACAACACAGCAACTGCTCCACAATTTGAGCCTTTACATGAGAAAGCCAGCAATCAAAATCAAACCCCAAAGACTGAGATCTTTAGAACAGTGTGATTGAATATAGCTCAGCTAAAAATTCACAGCAGGTCTGAATGTACAAAATTTCCAAGTATCAGAGTGGATTTAAATGAGCTCACATCTCTTCCCCAACCCTCCTCCCCTTCAAATAATCTGGGAAGCCAAAGAAGTATATAATGAATCATTAGTTATATCAGTAAGTTCAGAAAAGAACTAAAGAACAGGTATCTCTCAAAAGCTTATAGGCAATCAGAAAAAGAAAAAAAAAAAGACTGAGAAAAACAACTTTTTTCTTCCTCAACTCTGAAACTTGCATAAATAAAATGCAAATGCTGCATTCCTGAGGATTTTAATAAAATCTGTTTCAAGCCCTGGCAATAAAACGATCTATCACAAGATGGGGCGGGGTGGGGTGGGATGGAAGCAAGCTTTGTTTACAAGCTGAAAGTACTTTTTACTGCACAGAAAAGACCCTTCCAGGTGATATCTCTGTAAAACATAAGCCATCTTTATATTCTCTGCATTCTGGATTGTTTCAAAGGCCACAGATGACTTCCATTCTACTTCAGGGTTCAGACACATACAGATTACTCCAGATATAAGGTAAAATAATTTATCTTGTATTTGTGATGAACAGAACAGAATATGCAATTACTTCAGATGTATACTATAGCAGTCCTGTAGCAATTTATCACCACACAGCAAATCTTCCACCTATCTGGGTCTTTAAACATAACCAGGGAGTGTCTCTGCAAAAGGACGGACCTCTCTGCCCAACTGACAGGGCTGGGAAGATACTCAAATATTTATCATATTAGGAAGTCACATATGCTATCAAAAAAATAAGCCTTTTCCTCTTGTTTTAGATTTTGCTTTGCATTTAAGAAAGGGTAAGTAGCAAACTATTTCATCAGTTTGAATATTTTGAGGACTACCAGATGAAATACCACTGTGTCTGAGCCCCATGCAAATAAAATAGAATCTATGCAAGGAAAATAAATATTTCTTTATCTTCTCTTGTCTAACATTTTAAAAAACGGTGTTCAAAAGGGAACTGCTTCCAATATTTTTTTAAGGGTAGTCTTAAAGCTGAAAGTAATAAAATATAAATCACATTTTATAAAAATGTGTTAAAAGTTTAAGCAAGTTTAGTGTAAGCTATTTCAAATCTAAAAAAATCTCAGAATTATTCTATTATGTCTTACACTACTGCAGTTTTCAGGGGAGCCATTTCTGAATAAAAGACTTGTCAGGAAAAAAAGAAGTTAAAATACACTCATTTCTTTAAGAAGTTTAACTTATTTCCAAAGGACCAGAAGTTCTTTGTATTATGTAGGCAAATAAGTTAAATAAATTAAGTAATACTGGTCCAACAACATTTCTCCATTATGCTAACTTACAACTGGTCTTGCAGTTCCACAATGATATATTCCAGCTGTTCTTTCTCCATTTTATGGGCTAGATCCATATCTTCAATTCTTTGTAACAGCAGTTTATTCTGTGAGACAGATTCAGATAGCTGCTTTTCTCTGAGTCGTACCAATTCTTCAAGGTAACCCTGGAAACATAAGTGTTAGAAAGTCTTAAAGAACACACTATCATATTACACATGTTTGCATTTTTTTGTTTAAGATGTATACAGTTCTACTTTTGGGGTTTTTTAGATTTATTTTTAAGTAGACTAGTGAATTGACTTATGCTTAGTATGATGTTTCCTAGTAAGCACCAAGAAAATAATGTACTTATTTATATTCCGGCAGAGGAATAGACTAATGGATAAAACAATGAGACAGGAATATGAAACGCTAATTCATTTTTTATAAACAACATAGAATAGTCACTAATACAAGAAAAAGTTCAGAACTCTATGACTTAACAGATGCAGGATGCTAGATAGTGCATAAGAAGGACAAGTGTAGAATGTATTTATATAGATCCATATAGTTAATGAAAGAGATTCGGAATTGTTGTTAAAAAATCCAATATTATTTTAAAGTTTATTTGAAAACTGCAATACCACATCACACATTAAAATGAGAAAGAAGAAAGTTATTGAAATAAATACTGATCTACAGTAAAGCATAAGGTAGGATAACTGGTGAAGGTCACTTCTTTTAGTAACACTGGACACGTGCAGCTAGAAAGTGCATGTGCATTTATGTCATAATTTTTCCAGATGATACTATAAAAAATGTGGGGCAGTCCTGCCACGTCAAATGTTACTGTTATCTTGACTCTTAAGATACTCTTTGGAGCTTTAAGTAGTGTTTTAAAAGTACTAAATGATGCATTAGGACATACACAAATTTCCTGCCTCCCAGAAAGGTCAAACAAACATTTTACAAAAGATTTTAGATATAAAATATCAGTATCCAAAACAAAATACTATGAACAGTAAATACCTCTATTTTACATCGAGATGCATCATCCCACCAGTGAAAGCATATAAAACTCCAGTATAAACAGTACATAAAGAATTTAGGATTTTACTACACAAAAGTCAACAGTTTAAACCATTCCAAAATAGAGAAGGGATAACTTCCACATAATTAACAAATGTGAAAACTATAACTCATCTGGACGAAAGACAAACTTATCATATTTCCAGAGTGGCCTGAAGAGGGCAGGACTGTTCATCATTTTTTAAAATACAAGGGCTAGGCACCACCAAACAAAGCCAGTAGGAGCCAGATTCAAAAGACAGAAAAAAGATGCGGCTTTTCACAGAACAGATGGCCGATACACAGGATGATTTGCCAAAAAAATTATGTGGATGCTAAAAATTTACATGGGGTCAAGGATATCTGACAAGTATTTGGAAGAGAGATCCATTACGGGTCACTAAACAGACAAACCTTATCAGCTTCAGGAAGTCCTTGAGCTCATATGCGTTGGCCAAGAAAGTATTAGAGGAAAAACAGTGCACATACATCTGTTTTGTTTTTATTTTTCCCTCCACATTTACTTCAGGCAAGCAGCCAAGATAGGATAGTAGGATAACCAAGGGTTCTTGGTGTAAACAAGTACAGCATTGTTGATCCAATAAAGCAACACTAGGATTTGATTTACCTCACTAAAGTAATACCTGACCTTATCCTACCATTCAAACAACTCGGAAGATACAGATTCCTTTGTCTTAGCTGAAATCCAATCGCTTGTCATATTGTGATGCTGGTAAATTTCATTCACCTGTGCTATTAATGAATACACAGACTTACTTAGGAGGCACAAAAGGAATTTATCATTGTTCACACAAATCAAATGACAACAGAGCAAAATAAGGATCTATCACACTCGCTATATCAGTTGCTAAAAATCCATTATTTTCAACTTGGTCTCCTTGTTGAGGAGACAAAAACAAACATCTAGTTTTTCAACACACAGAATCTCAGAAAGCCCCTTTGCTTGAAAGGCAACGCTGTCTCGAATGAACCGGTACCTACCGCACTGTGTGCGACCTGATTGCTGCTGCAACTTACTGCCATAAAAAAGGTCCCGAAAAGGGAAGGAGAGAAACACTTGGGAAAGGAGCTCTCTTCCATAGTCCATCTAATGGTCATTTGTTAAAGTTATAATAGAACAGATGAAGTATAGTTGAAGTGAATTAAATAAAACTTGGCAGGCATATCCCAAATGAAAATTAGGCAATGGAAAACTTTCTGTCTATGGGAATAAAAAAAGTTATTTTGCTGCTGCAATTGTCAAGCAGGCATTCTAAATGAGGACAATTAGGAAAGTGTCAATGCCTGTCAGAGTACCTATCATTTTGAAAATTGTATTAAATGCAGCAAAGTTTAAAAAGAGTAATAAAACCAACTTGAATTCATCCCTACATTAGTTGACTATAGAAGCTGGCAGTGCATTAAGAGAATGCTACAAGGAATATTGTGACTCACTAAAACAGCAACACTCAAAAATTTGAAATACTCGGTATCAGATCAGTGAATACCTTCCTGTGGAATAGGAATGCTTGTAGATTTTAGACTCATGAATAAACCAAAACCTCCGTTTGCTGCTATAGCCACTGAAGATATTTGTGCTTTTGTAGACGTAAAGCTACCTAGTGATTCTGGCTAGTGGATTTGGACACCATGTTTGAATATTGTTTCTATAGATGTCTGTCACAACTTTGATGGGGTATCCTTCATGAGGATGTACAAAGGAAAATAAACATCCACCTATTTTGTTCTCTTCAATGCTTCTCCAGAGCTGACGACACATTCCTCATTAAACCCCCAAATATTTTACAATATTTGGGGTGGGTGATGGAGGAGGAGGGAAAAAGCGGAGTTCCAACTGCTTTGTTTTTGTCTGGACACTAGGATGAAATGCTGTCTTGAATATGTTCCCATGCTTCAAAGACTGTTGGGGTGGGGGGGAAAGGTTTCAATTTTGTTCATGTATTTGAAGAGATTCCTTTTGAATGGCACATTTTGGTTTACAAAAGCATACTTCAAAAATGAGAAGTCTAAGGGACCAAAAATAGAAAAAAAACGATTGTATGCATATTAAAAAGAAAAAATACTTCTCACATCTATATCTCACAGTAAATCTGACTTTTTCACTGTTACTTAGAAAAACTTTAACTAGAGTTTCTCACATGCATTAAGGTAAACCAACTTCGCTTCTACCCATTCCATATTAAGACTAGCATTTAGCAATGCACAGCTACATTTACCCTAAGAAACTGAACATAGCCAGGACTCCTTCTCAGGTATATTTTCTCAGTCTAGTTATATCTATACTAAAACTCAAGTTCCAAAGGACCATGTCTGAAGTCACACCCGTTATTTGGAATGATCACTAACAAACACTAATTCACAAACTGTGACCTGAAATAATCTGGGAGAGTGCTAGCTGTCCCAGGCCAAAACCATGCAAACAGTCATTCTTAGAATTTAAATATGTTTGTGACCAAGTTAGTACCAGGACCTGGGTCACAGTTAATGTACTGAGTCCCTCTCAATTGGCAGAAGATCCCTTCTAGATCCCATCTGACCTTTTCTTTTTGATTTTTTTTCTCTTTAAAAAAAAATATATCTTTTTTTCTTCTCAGTACAGTAAAAACTAGAAAGGCAGAGAGATTCTAAGATGCCCTAAACTAAGGGAAGTAATTACACCTCCAAGCACTCTTACGTAGTTCCAGCCTTTCATTTGGTTTACTGGGTTCAGAGTTTCATCAAAATCAAATTCTGACATTATGAAAAAAGAATGCTGTGTTGGGTTGGGGGTGGGAAGGAGCCTTTTTTTTTTTTTTTTTTGGTAGTGGGGTAAGGCAACCTTGTGAGAGCAAAAAGCTCCCCTGGCTCCAAGATGGAGACCTCCCCCAGCCCAGGCTGTGAACAACAAGCACTAGAGAAACGCCTCTGCAAATCCATATTTGTGAGGGGAAGGCCTGTCCTGAAAAGAAGAAGGTGTGGTACCTGGAGGAGAGACTGCTGACCTAACAAAAGACGACCATCAGTCTAAACAAAGGACAGAAGACAGAGAGAGAGTTTTATTGGCAGAGAAAAAGACGGAGACCCACACCCAGTTCAACTGCATGGAGTAGAAGACAAAGGAAGTCCCCTGCAGCCCATGGAGATTCAACAGCAGAGCAGAGACTCACATGTAGGCCATGGAGGACTCCACGCTGGAGCAGAAAACCTGAGCCTGGAGCAGAGAAGTTGAGCCTGAGGGCAAGTGTGATTGGAATTGTGACCAGAATTGCAACCCTGAGAGTTGCTCGCTGCCAGAGCAGGTGTGGACCCCCAGAGTGGGGGGTGAGTCTGCAGCCCATGGACGTCCCCATGCTGGAGCCAGGAGCAGAGCCTGAAGAGGTCCATGACTCCATGGGAAGCTCGCTTTGGAACATCTTGTTCCTGGACTTCCATGCCGGGAAGAGTGGCAGAGGTGAACTGACTGAACCCCCATTCCCTGTCCCCTGTGCCGCTGGGGCCAGGG